AAAACACTTTCACACCCATAGAACACCATAGATAAGACTAAAATTAAACCATAATCTCAAAAATCAGGCATTTTTTGTATTGCCCACTTCGTTTTCTTTGCCAAATGTACAAATTTCAAGAAAACCAAGAATTATCACCGGCGCTTATGTTTCAGGCCCAGCTTTCGACGCAAGTTCATTGGAAAATGAGTTGAAAATCAACGATTTGGGTGGTGTTGAGATTGAAGAATTGCAACCAATTGATGTGATAAATTGGGGATTATTGTGGAAGCTAATTTCACGGAGCAAGTTAAGACTCATTGCTTGGATTTTTAGTCTTCTTCATTGCACAGCTAGCACCCTCTCCATGCCCATATATTCCAGTATGTTAGACTAAGGGGTGGGGTGGGTGCGGGAGAAGAAGAAGACCCATTTCTTTTTTTTTTTTGTGGTTTATCGTTTTTTATTTTAGTTTTTTAATTGTTTAATGTGGTAAAAAAAAAATTACCATTTTGCCCTTTTAGAATTGATTAAAAGGTGGTCAAAGTTTAGTTTGATGGTCAACTAACATAATTTTTGACGGAAACAATCCAAAAGGGCCTCAGATGCAACGTTTGGAAATGTTAGGGGTGACGACTGCAATAAATGAAAGGTTTGGAGAAAGCCTGCTAATGTTTCAAAGGTTTGGGGCCTTTGTTGCAATTTTTCCTTGAAAAAATGAACATTCATGACTTATCTATCATCTATAAGTAATGATAGAATATATTGTCAATATTTGATTACTAAATGGAAACTATTACTTACAAAGTTGATATTTCTATCTAAAGAATTAATATTAATGTTGTGCTAGGTATCTTGCAATGGGTCCCACCACCATTTATTTTGGTTAATTGTGTCATGCATATATGTACATTATTGTTGTTATGTTAAACTTAGGCATTGATTTGAGCTTATTATTTTATTTTATTTTGAATTCAGTTTTTACTTCTGCTTTTGCAATATCTGTCAATTAATTCCATCTCATTGCTAAATGACACGAATTTTAAGAATTGCAAAGAGAATGTTATGATTGTTCTCGGTTGAATGATCTTGATCTTGCACTTCGGTTAGAACGACCTTGTGCTCTCATTGACTCAAGTTCCTCTGAAGATAAAAGGAATTTAGATAAATGGGACCGTTCTAATTGTATAAGTCTAATGATCATGAAAGTTCCATACCAAAAACTTATAGGAGTGATATACCCAATGAGGAAAAAATAGACCTAGGTGTAATTTCCTTGTTAAGAATTAATTATGCGTTTGGTAAAATCTTGTTTCAAAATATTACTATTTTAGTGTTTGTTAAATATAAGTAATTTCACTATGCTCGTAAATAGTTAATAAAATTGACATTGAATATAATGATATCATTTTATATTGTGCCTCCATTAAAATCTTAGTCTTAATTTTTTTTTCAAACTCATTTTCAATCACACATTTTTCTAATAAAATAGATATTATTTTCTTTTCATCTTAACAGTATCCAGCCCTGGTTTTCGGGGATTCCATTTTGATCCAAATATCCGAAGTCAGTCTTGGACCTGATAGGGATGGACATAGCGAATATCTTAGATCTATATTTCATAATATTAAAAGTAAAAAAATTGTACAGAACGATATCATTATAATTAATGAACATTTCGTTATTGTATTCAAAAACAAAAATATATTAATTTTTTTGTCAAACACTACAATTTTGAAACAAAAATTTGTCAAATACTTAGCTGATTCTTTTCACATCAAATTTTTTAAGTACCACAACGCCAAATCAAGCCTAAGATTTTTTTTCTCAACATTTACTTTCGTGAACGATCATGTAATTACTGACTGAAGCCACATTCTTTGAGGACTTCAAGTTTTGATTTGTTTAAGATTTAATCTTATTTTAGAGTCTCCATGAATTGGTGTCACACAATGAGAATGCTTTCTCCCCATTTGGCACGACAAATTCACCAATAGCTAGACGTATGACTTGTTTTACCAAAGAGTAATAATATGATCATATACAGGCATTTCTCTAATGTTCTACTCATAACGTGCATGTGTACTAGCTGTTCAAGTTTGTTGGTCTAAGAATGAGTGGAAGGTTGCCTTGAGGCATGTAACCTTGGGAGCCAAACCTGAAGTTCATGAAAGTTTGTATATAACAGGATTGCTCGAATATGCGTTGTTGGTTGTGGATGATCAATGGTGTGCATTCTTGTGGAGAAAAACTTTTTGGACCACAAATCATGTCGACAAGCATGCGGAGCACAATAAATAAAGTTGTGGCGGAGATGGATGCGAAGGGCATGTGTTGTGCGAGTGTGCCTATGTGCCTTTAGAGGGTTTTCATGGAGCACACATTGTGGGGCACAATAATTTAGATTGTGTATTTGCTTTGACATGTGCTGAGGCGCTATGGCTAGAGGTAGTCCATTTGAGGAACTAATGTTTATGGGAGCATATAGTGAAAATTGGTGTTGGAGATATGTAAGAGTTACTATGGGTAGATTGTGCAAGGAAGTACTGTTTGTACGCTCGTCCATAAGGAGAAGGTGCCAATGTTATTCTTGCAATTATGCATGTTGATGCAAAACTCACTTTCTTATGCTATGAAGGTATAAGAAATGGGAGAGAATGTCATGCAGTGGAAATGCTCATAGGTTTATTTTACCAAAGAGTACATTAATGAAATGATCATATATACGTATTTTCTTAAAGTCCTACTCATAGATGCATATGTGCCTATTATTTGAGTTTGTTGACCTAATAATGAGGGGAAGGCTACTAAAATTTCGCTAGTGCATGGTATCGTGAATAAGTAATAAAGTGATGAATAAGGTATCATTTTCACGATGCTATGTACTTAATCTAGGATCAATAAATTCTAACTATAATCAAATAGCAAATTTTGTTTAAAGAGTTTATACTAATTAATTAATTAATTAATTAAGCTAGCTATTCTAATGAGCAAAATGTGAAAGCTTTTGTAAAATTGGGTAATTTGATTACTAAGATTTTGAACTCCCTTCTTAATATGTTTTAATGCAATTCAATAGAAAGATAATATGTATGCATTTTTGTTGAATAATATTCCTAAGTTATTCAATAATCTCTCTTTAGTAGAATTAGATCCATACTCTCATGTGACGTTCCAAAATTTCAAGATGCGAGCATGAAAGATGCATTAAGAACATTAGAATAGCTATTAAAACTGTACAGATCATAGAGATACATCTCTCTCCTATCAGACTTCACAATGGTTATTATAGGTGCAGTCTATCATATTGTCTCTCTCAATAACAATAAAACTCACAAATAAATCAACTTTTATGATCAAGTAATTGAAAAACATTATAAACAATAACAATCATCCAAATATAAACACAAATTGGGTGTTAAAATATTAAAATTATATTAAAAACTTCATAACAAAGGTTCATTTATTTCTTAGTAAATGAAAACCTAGCTTAGCATTACAAAATTACAAGAACATCACCTGAATTTTTAATTGAATGAAGAAAAGAGGATGCATATTGAAAATTTAATATCTTCAATGACTTCTTGATAAATTTTAGTTGTGCCTTCCCTTCTTTGTCCCAAAATAAGGTTGGATTATCAATGAATTGAATTCTTGTAATTGCTTCTTTATCCTTTCAAAAGATTGATGATTTATCCTCTCTTTTCTCGTGGTAGTTGATGAAATATAATGTATGAGATGTCCTCTTTATTAATGTATGAGTTTGTTCTATATTTACAAGGCTCGAAATCAAATTCAAAATAACGTCCAATTAGGTTTCCAATAGAGTTAGAAACGCAAAAGGAAAATTGGCTCGCACGTGAAATTAACCACATACGGAGAACAAGCCTAGCGTCCGCGTCTCTTCATGCGGCTGATCTTAGGGTTGGAAAAAAGGGTGGCCCTACATGCATCGTTATCTGTGTGCGCGCACCACATGTAACTATAGAATTTGTGCGTTTTGGTCCTCGATTTTATTTCTTCATTCCTTTAAGTCATTATCTCGTGCAATTTTCATCTTGTAGCTTTCATTTTCATCCAATTGAACCCGTATAATCTTCAATCATCACTTTGTGATCCAAATCAACATTAAAAAGTTACATTTTGGTTTCCAAGCTTTGAATTTCGCCTTTATCGCACATTTTAGTTTCTTTCTTCCACCTTCGCTTTCAATCATCGAGTTTTACCTAAAAAAACGAAACATACAAGATACTAGACTTTAATTAATGAAACGAACTAGGAAATATTTATAATTATAGGCCTTGATAGTGAATAAATTACACTTATTTACTACCTTGAGGCGTGAAACTTGAAAGTCAAATCACGGTTCGTAAAAGTTGCACTCGATAGTGTTTCTCTTTTTCTCTATATAGTGAAACCTGCCTTTTCCATGTTAGCCCTCAAAACCCCAACCTTAAAAATAGAAATGGTGGTTATATTGATACCGCAATTTTTATTTGTCACACCACATTTTAATTGTAGTTAAACTTTTCAATTTTTGTTCCCTGTAGCAATTATTTTTTTAATTTTTTTTTTGTTGAAATTTTATTTTCAACATTTCATTAATTAGTACGTCTCATCCTTAATGATGATTTATATCAAATTATTTTGTTTTCATACTCGCACTTTTTATTATTTATTTTTTAAAAATATGATGAGAAAATAAGTTTTTTTTTATGTCATTTCAACGAATTTTTATATAAAATTGTTTTCAAATACAAAATGTGTTAAATAATAAAAAGTTTGAGGATAAAAATGACATGAAAAATAGTTAGGAATATAAGTGCTATAATAAATAAAAAATATGTACATTAAATATAATTTAAATGTGGTGTAGTAAATAAAAATTGTGGTGTGAATATAATTATTCAGACAGAAAATGGAAGGAGGAAATATGGAATTTTCCGAAAGGAATTTGATATTTGTATACAATTCTTTCGCTCCAATTCCTTCAGTTGAAACTAAATCACATTTCGACAACGCGACTCTACTTCCAATCAAAGTCGCATCAGTTCGAGAAGTATAAAGTATAAACGACACCAAGAAAAATCAAAACCCTCTGTTAAACTCTTCAACAAAGGGTCTTGAAAATTCTCTGCGTTTAAAAGAAAAAAATGGCAGAACATTTGACGGAGGAGCAGATCGCTGAGTTCAAGGAAGCCTTCAGCCTTTTTGATAAGGATGGCGATGGTATATATATTTTTGATTTTTTTCGAATTTTAATTAATCATTTTATTGCCAGTTCTGTACTTTTTTTTGGAACGTTTCTTATCATTTCTCGGTTTTGGGACTAGATCTATGTTTTTTTTTTTCCTTATTTGTAAGAAGAAAAGTGTCACACTGGTGCGATTTTTATTTCAAAACTATTTGCAAATAATTTCGATTTTCTAAAGTACCGGAAATGATGTATTTTATTTTTGTGCTGAAATCTAGGATCACACAGATTTAGGTTGCTTTTTGGTTATTGTATTTGATGAAGGCAATTAAATAAAATTAGAAGGAAAATTATTTCCTCATACAAGTGCTTGTTGAATTGTTATTTCAATTTTTCTAGGACTACTTTTTACTTTTGTATTTCTATTCTCCAACCCATCACTTGAGGTTTTCCGTGAGTAGCCTATTCAATTGTCTATCAGTTCATAATGTTGTTCGGCGTAATTGCTCTGGTGTCCTGAGTGCTATTCTATTTTCCAGGTTCTAGTTATATTGCAGGTAGTCAGGTTGGGTTGGATTGTGTGCTGGCCTATCAAATGCTCTTTTTACATAATTGCATTTCTGTTTGGTTGATTCTTATTAGTGTTATGTTGAAAAGGAGATTTTACCAAGGTTCCATTTTAGCCAACTGAACCTCCCCTTTGCTCTTGCATTGCGTGTGGACAATTGGGCGCCAATTACAATCAGGAGTGAGTGAAAAGTGCTTGTTATTTGAATGGTTTGAGTTCCCGGAGTCCCACTCCATGGTAGGATTTTCCTGAATGAGGTTATCAGTCTCTTGTTTTAGGTTTTAAGAAAAGTTCACTACCAGAATACAGGTGGGAAACATGGGGTTATCATTCTAGGTGCCAGACATTTTATTGTCAAATTTTGGAGAATACTGTCGACTGTCTGGACATAGGACACTATTTACAAGGCACTCGGTAATGGAGTAGTAAGCTAGTATTAGGACGTTTAAGCTTTCACATAAATTGGACATTCGAAAATGGTTAGAATAAATTCAATAAATTAATGCACTAAAGAATACACACACACACACACACACACACAAACACACACACACATTTGGAAAACTACAACATAGAAGATGTATATTATATATATATATAAACTGAAAGATGTATCTTGTTAAATGTTATCTCTGGATTGGTGTTTGAAAGTGACTAGTGTCCGTTTCAGATGCACATTTAGTGTTAGGCATGGGTATAATATGGCAAAGGAAGAGTCAAAACATGGATTATACACATCTTTGACACTTTTTATTGGAATACATAGAATGTGTGGTATATGCATGCAATGTCAAGATGGTGTTCACATGGGATTCATGAAGCACGGTTAAACTCGGAAAGTCATGATAANGAAAGAGAATGGGGGCCAAACGGGGGCTTTATATGGATTAATTATCAGCAATTTCGGGGAATAGTGTCATATTTGAATTCATTTGCTTATACATGTAAATAGCTTGTATAATTGCATTGCATGCTAAAATTATTCTGTTGCATTTCTTTGTAAAAATGCCTTGATAACGTTCACTGGCAAAATTAATTTCATAGGTTGTATAACCACTAAAGAGTTGGGAACAGTTATGAGATCACTGGGGCAGAATCCCACTGAAGCTGAACTGCAAGATATGATCAATGAAGTTGATGCTGATCAAAATGGTACAATTGATTTTCCCGAGTTCTTGAATTTGATGGCTCGGAAAATGAAGGTAAATTCATTTCACCTTTGGCTGGTTAGAATCTGTGATATCTGTCTAAAGACTTATTTTTTCTTTCTTCTTTCAAACTGTGGGGATGGGGGTGGCTTGCGTTTGTTTCTTAGTATTACTGCTTCTAAGTCATAATTATCATCTATCCGGAAATCCTTAATTTTGAATCAGAACAGTGAAATAAGAATTTAGTATGGTAATATTAGTCGGATGTGGAGATACCTCTTGGTATCCTATATTCTACCACAAATACTATTGCCTAGTTTCTTGACGTCTTTAAGTGAATTTAGTTTATACCGAAAGTTACCTATAGTTTTGGTTCTTACTACTGCTGATAGTCTCTCTCTGTATATTTGATATTCTAATTGATGTTATACTAGTAATTTCAGTTTTTTTTATCAATTAACAACTTCTTAAGATGCATATGCATAGAATAAGGTTGCTGATTTAATCCAATTAAGGATGAAACACTTCTATATATCGCTGGGGGAACTTTCTTCAATTTTTTCTCTCTCTGTGGGAAATTGGTGAAGATATAGAGTATGCATGATACATTTTGATTCTAGCTTCTTGAAAATCTATGGATGGTTATTAAAGTTTCAGTTTGGTGCATGCTCACATGAAAAAATTTATGTGCATATATCATTTGTTGAAGATATTGTTACTGATAGAGAAAGCTTAATTTATCCTTCTGAGTCTGTACAAGTCCCATTAACATGTTACTACTGGTGGTTCCATTTAGAGTATCAAAATAGTTAACAAGCTTAATTCCAGTTTCATTTTGATAAACCAGAACTAATATGTCAAGAAGCGTAAACTTAGTTCTTTGTTTGTGGAAGGATACTGACTCGGAGGAAGAGCTGAAAGAAGCTTTCAAGGTCTTTGACAAGGATCAGAATGGCTTTATTTCTGCTGCAGAGGTCTCTCCCTTTCTTCCCATTTCAAACTCACCATACCAATTTTCTTACTTGAGCTGTTAGATTACAGAATTTAGGATTCGATTCATATTCTTCATTCTCATTTTCCTAGTGTTAAAAATTTGCAGCTTCGCCATGTGATGACAAACCTTGGGGAGAAGTTGACAGATGAAGAAGTGGATGAGATGATACGAGAAGCAGATGTGGATGGCGATGGCCAAGTGAATTATGAGGAGTTTGTGAGGATGATGCTTGCAAAGTGATTCTAACAGCAGATTATTGGAGTTGTTAAAGACTTAATGGTTTACTCCTAAATTTTGGATTGTGTTCTGTTAAATGGTTACTTGGCTAAATCCGAAATCCTACTTCTCTTGGCTTATTTGTATGCTTGGCTCTGACTGAGCTAGTTTCTTCTTGCTTTTCTCCTGCAGCTTGAATCTCATATGGTCGGCTTAAAATGGAACAAACCCACACGTGCACACGTTACCTGCTGGTGGGTCCGCTTAAAACTGAACAGGCACTGGCTCGAGCTCGAGTTTGGGTTTGAGTTTGAGTTTGAAAATTTGTTTTTCAGAAAAAAATTACTTCATAAATAACTAGACCCAACGCAAGTTCACTTGGAAGCCGTGGCCCATTGACTAATGGACATGACAGTCCTATCTTTTATTAAGTGGAAATTACGCTAGTTGTACCTTTTATCTCAATTTTACATTTTAGCTCACGAAACATGACTCCCAAATAAGCAAGAACGATCAATTACAAATCACTGCTCTCTAAAACTAAATGCATTGAAGTATCTTCTCTCTTTGCTGATTTTGTGTAATCCCTAAATTCAAGTACATGATCCCTCGTGCCCAAAATAACATTCCAAATTTGAAACACTTAATTTCTCAAATGATTTCATGTTCAAGGATGGTCTTCAGGAATGATTATTCGTAACTATTTAGCAGTGTTGGGATTATGAAATGTGCTGATAATAATAGTTGCAACATTAAATATGTAATTAAAATTTATATTTGACATTAATTGACTAATAAAAGGAAATTATAAATTAGTAAAAATATTTTCCATAAATCTAGGGTTGGGCAAAACTCTAGAACCGAATCGAATCACGTGGTTCTTCCTAAGTTAAATATCTGGATGGGTATCTAAATTGAGAAGCGACTTTTCGGTTCGATTCTCAAATTTAGATCAAGAATCGAAAAATCGAATAAGAATTAAGTCTCCCTAATTTTTTAATTTATTTATTTTAAATAAGCCAAATTATTTTATTTTTTTAAATAAATTTGCTAATTAGTTAACTGAGCTCAAATTCAAATTTTCAATCCAAGCTCAACTTAATCAGATTGACCTAAATTTTATCCAAATCTATTAGTATACTGTAGTGCTTTTTTTTACCATTTTAAAGAAATCGAATTGAAACTCTATAGTGCCTCTTTTAATTATTATGATCACGCTATATTTCTTTTCCAATGATTTTAACAATCAAATATATGAAGAATTCAGAAACAGAGACGCAAAAGATACATAAGATTGAATTACGTTATTTTATAAGAGTTAAAATTGAATATATCATTAATTGAATTAATATAACTTTGTAAATATTAAAAAATTAATTATAGTACAAATTTGGAAATCGAATGTAACCGAATCGAACAGAACCGAATCAAATCGAACCCGAACGGTTCCATAATTAAATTTGGACCCCACGGTTCCACTTACTAAATACCCGAAAATTTCGGGCTCAACTCGGTTCTCGTTAAAATCGAAACGAACCGAACTGAACCATGCCCAACCTTACATAAGTCTGTGATTTGAGTGAATGGGTCAAGAGTGAACTCGGAGGCCTACAAACCCAAGTTGTGAGTCAGTTGAAAGTTGCCTTCTCACAACAATCATATCGTCTTAAGTGGGTGAGCTCCAAAGTTGCCTAAACATAATACTCATCAAATAAGCATGACATGATGACGGCTTAGGCTCGGAGGCTTGGCCTCAGGCAAATGAGTACCTTGCCACTTGCTCAAACGAACCAAAGAGGAGATGAACAATGCTTAGTGTACATCAAGTTACACTGTCCCCTCACATGCGAATATTTTATTTGCAGGGCCCCCTCATATGAGGGAACTGTATATTTGTATAGCATAACCAAGGGGAGATAAAAAAAAGTAATCGAGTGAATGAAATCCACAATGTTGATTGAATTGATTGGAGTGGTGACTGTCCATCCTTCACTCAAAGAAGTTCCATTAGAAAGGATTGGAAATCAATTCATTACAAAAATATACTGAATATTAGCTCAGAATTATTCCGAGCTCACTGAATGTGAGAAGTTTCAATGGTTGCATCTCCCATCTCGATCGGCAATTGACTAGATTCATCGTATTTTTCTCTTTCTTCAGGTTGCACAAACAATCTTAGCTTCTGTTCGGTTCAACTTAAAATGTGAATTAAAATTGAAGTCAAAGTCGATAATTAGTTTTAATCATGTATTTTACAGATTTCACAAGTTTTTAACCACACATTCCATCATTTTATTTATTTATTTATTTATTTTTTATTAAAATCTATTATGAATCTAATTTTTGTTGAAACCTAACGGAGGCTTACTATCAAAAGTTGATCAAGAAGTGCCACATCTTTTTACATATTTATTTTTATTTTATTTTGTCATCAGTAGTCTACATGGCCAGCCTCAAATTTGCCGGATGGGAGAAAAAATTGGCCTACTTCAAGCTGTGGCAAACCTATGCATTTATAATCTTATATACACCGTACATGACCCGTTTTAAAATTCCAAACTAAAATGTCCTTAGCCTCTCGGTACAGTTGATAGGTTTGAAATGTTGAATTAGATTAACATTATTTTTGAAGTTGAATACCTACGTAATAGAGTGACAAAAATTAGACGTAAAGTGTTCATATCTAAATGCAGTTGGTTTATTTATGCATGCAACTTTAGTGACAACCATTAATCATTATGATTCTGTTTTGTTTATTTGTAGGAATATATTGTTTTTCTTGGGCCCAACACCCCACAAGTGGTTAGCAATATGACCGATTATTTCTCCACTAAGTTCAAAATGCAGGCATCTGTCCATAAATCACTACGTGCCAAGAACTATGGTGGTCACCTCGATCAATCCAAACCCTGTTAGGTAACTTATGCTTTTAATTCACCTCAACACGGAACCTAGCTTCACTAGGTTTACAAAAATTAGAGCTGGCCTCATTGATTCTCGAGGAGATACCAATAGTTTTAGCCAATGAAAATAGAAAGCTTTTAGCACACAAATGAACAGCAACAAAGAGAATGATATCCAAACATGAGTGACAGGGGTTTCATTATCCAGACGAAAATTACACGTATATTTCAACACGCATGGGGCAATCCTCAATTTAACACAATGGTTTCAAAAATAATCTACTATAATTATATTCACGGGTCATATGAATCGAGATATGCTGATAATCAATCATCCCATGCTAAGAATAACCATGAAAGCTACATAGCTGCACCATGTTTCATTTACAACGGGAAAATTTGTTGATAAGTGTAAATTTGAAAGGCTCAGTGATTCTAGCCTCATCTTTAGCAAGTAAAAACATAGCGAATTCCCTAATATTCAAAGAAGACTCCACAGATTCAATGTCAGTTATTATGCCCCCCGTGATGAACTGCCACATCACCAAACACAGGCCACACTCCAATGCACCTAAGAGCCGAACTTACACTAAACACATGCGCACTCCGATGCATCGATGCGTCTAACGTACACCAAACACATGTACACTCCGATAGGTCGATTCGCATAATGTCAGCATGAGCATGAGGATCCGAGGTGGGATACAATCGTCTAAAGTGGTCAGGATCCAAGGTGGGTAACATCATCCGAAGTGGTATGTCTAGAAACCTCAGCACAAGATATGAATCTTTAGGGCAAGGATCTGTCGAAGACAAAACCTTATGAATGATGGATGTGACATTTCTACAATAGGCACCAATGTGTCAACTCCAACTCAGAAACATTAAATGCCCTTCCACCTATGAGTGATAGATGAACGCCTACCAAAAGACACCTTGGATCGGCGAATGAGGCCACGTGTTCTCAATCCAATGGTTATCCTTCGCCATTCTCTCTATAAATACCTAAGACCTACATCTTTATAAAAAATAAACAAAAAAAAGAAGGTAACTTCACCATCCAAGTCTTTTTTCTCTCATCTCCTTTTGAAATAAATAGATCCAACGATTTTTGCTATCGGAACTAGTTGTGCAAATTATTATCGACTAACTTGATTGTCGAAGTGTACGTGGTTGCAACCACCTTTGCTGGAAATAGCCACATACTACTGATCATTTGTGCCAAATGTGTAGGGAGGAATATACGTGGAGTTACTCTTTGTTGGCCACATGGAAGGTCCATTTTACGAGGTCAATTGATTAGCATGGTCTGTGGAAAAGTGCGATCACCACATCATCACTCTGATCACTTGCACTAAAAAGCTAATTGAAAAGGCCCAAAAAGCTTTCCCGTTGAAGAAAGGTTGTGTTCTTGAATAAAGAGCAAATAAAAGTTGGCCAGAATCTATTTAATCTTTTGGATTGTTGAAAGTTATAAAGCAGATTCATTGATTCAATAAGTTCGGGTAATGATGTTATTAATCTTAAGAGAGTGAGAGAACCCTCTGAAGAAGAGGTCTTCCATACTAATGTCACTCACCAAAGACCTCATCATTGTCATCACCGAGGTGGAGAGGCAGCCACAAGACTAACAGTTGAAATAGCCCAAATGGCTATCAATATGAGAAATATTGCAGCACAAAACGCTGCCATGTATGAGCTCCTCATGTAGATCCAAAGTCAGAGGAGCCTTCAAATGTCCATGGAGAGGCTTCAAACAGCTTATGACCAGCCTCAGGAAACATAAAGTCAACGACATTCTAGCCATCGAAGAGAGATCCCTGTCAAAAGAGAAGTGGGTAGATATATCATCATACACTGCGGGGACCCTTGCTATTAATCCTTAACTAGGAGAGAATTTTTCCTGAATTATGAACCACAGAGGTCTATTAGCGTGTTCGACAGAATAAGGTGAAATCCAAGGAATAGGAGCTAGCCCACTTTAAAAACGGCTCAGCAAGTGCAAGGGTAGAACTAGAGAGCAGAGCCTTCCTGTCTAGGAATAGGTAGGAGGGATGAAACTTAGTGGATTGGGAAAATCAATGAGGGATATCCCAATCGCGACCTCGACATGAAGTAGATTGGGACAACTTTGAAGGGCCATATCTATCATATGAACTTAATGATTACGACGACAACCTCCATTTCTCTCAGAACTCTGTAATTTCTTGATGTCCTCCAACTTCGTGCCCCCTAAAATTCCAAAGTATGAAGGGAAAGGCGATATGAAAATATACC